CTCAAAAAAAAAAAAAAAAAAAAATCAATAGACTGATCAAGAAAAAAAGACAGCTCAAATTACCAGTATCTGGGAAAATATTACTGAGATCCTATATTAATTAAAGGGACAATAAGAGGGTATTATAAATGACCATGCACATACATTTCAAAACTTGGATGAATTGGAAAAATTCAGTGGAAGATACAAATTTCCAACAATGACACAAGAAGAAATATTCCTGAATATCCATGTTCCAATTAATCACATTTGAATTTTCTTACAGAAAAAATTTCCAGGCTTTGATGATGTCACTGATAAATTCTATCAATTAAGAAATAATTCCAATCCTTCACTCATGCAGAAGTTTGAGAAAATAGAATTGTGTGGTACATTTTCCAACTCATTTTATAAGTCTAATATTACTTTGATTTCAGAACCAGACAAAGAAAAATTACTAACCAATGTCCCTCACAAACACTGGAAAAATCCTTAATAAACTATCAACAAAATGAATGAAGCAATGTACAAAGGAAAATCCAGTGGGGTCTATCCCAGGAATGCAGGGTTAGTTTAACATTTAAATATCACTAAGTGTAATTTACAACTTTAGCAGAAATGAGGAAAAGTCCCCATGATCATCTCTGTAAATTTAATAAATGCCTTTAGCAAAATTCTATACATATTTATGATTTAAAAAGAGAAAAACTGTGTTTACTTCAGGAGGACATATACTAAAATTGGACAGATAGGGAGATAAGCATGGCCACTGTGCAAGGATGACACACAAAATCACAAAATGGTTCATATTTTTTTAAGACAAAAACCTCTTAGGAAACTGTGAATACCAGGGAACTTCTTGAAGCTGATGAAGGGTCTCTATGAAGAGCTTACAGCTGACCTTATACTTAATAGTGAAAGAGTGAGTCATTGCTAAGATTGGGAGTAAGGGAGTAAGGGAAGGGAAGGTAAGTGCCTGCATTCAGCACTTCTATTTGGTGTCGTTCTGGAGGTCCCAGCCAGGGCAGGAGAGCAAGACAGGGACTAGCAAAGAAGTACAATAACCTTGATTTGCCAATGACATGGCTGTGTATGTAGAAAATTCTAAGGTTTCTACAAAAAAGCAAATTACTTAAGTAGTAGGGAAAGTATTTAGTCTTTCTAAAAATGGCCCAGAACCTTTATTCCACCTCTATTCTACATCTTGCTTTTTATGGTCATTGTGAGTAGCTGGCGTTCTTGGCATGTGTGTTACTTTCCACAAAAAATTAAAGGCTTTATCACAGGAGAACAAAGGAATGTTTGCTGGTTTTACTGAATTGATCCTTATAGAAGTGGGTTAGAAAAGTCTTTTCAACACCAGCTTCCTGTCCCACTTGGAAAATATTCCTTTCTGCCTTAGAGTCTTCCCCGAGAAGTTCCTAAAGTGATTGCCTTGTTTTCTGAAACTCTGAAGACCCAAAGGACTGCTCTGTGGTCCCAGGGTCTCTCAACCTATAACCATATGTGGAAGCACCAAGCAAAAAAAATTCTGGGCTTTAAAACCAAAGTGTACTCTGCTGACTCAAACCAGGATCCCCTCCACACACTTAGCTCTCCATGTGGCACTGACCCTTATTCTAGGACGGAAGCTGGGGTGGAGGAGGGAATCTCAGTTTAGCTCACCCAGACAGAGTGCCTGCCCTAATCCCAAGTGGGTTTTGATCAAGAGTCAAAACCCACTTATTTTGAACTACCAGTCTCTCCCTTCAAAGCTCACTGGGCTTAGTACAAAGGGTTAGTACAACGAGTTTGAGAATGGGGGTTCAGCAGTTGCTCTGCTAAAACTGGCCGAGGTAAATCTCTCCAGCTCAAGGCTCTCAAGAGTTTATGCTTTTTTACACGAGGGATTTGGATTAGATTAGTGATTTTCTGTGTATAAAGATAATCTTATGATGCCCAGTGTGGACAAAAGAGGTTAGAGCCCATCAGGCTGACTTTGAAGGTGGGCGCTGTCCCCCCATGTGGCCATAGTGAATGTAACTGTCTAAAAGTCTGTGGTACCCCTCCCCCCAAAGACAGATAATGTATAACAGGACAACATGAGGACAAGGAGGCGGGGATGTAGGAGTGAACAAGGTAACAGATCATAGGCTATGTTTTTCCACATCAAAATGAAGATAAAATGTATTACAGAAGATATTGTTGCTCTGAAAAGTCTTGCCACTTACGACATGAAATTACATTAAGTTATATGTGTACCAACTTCAAAACGTTACCGCACCTGAAGTGGCCGCTGCCCTGGCCGACCCTGGTAGTAAGGGTCAGAGGGGCACCCTAAGGACTGGCTTTTGCTGCTCATCTAAGTACTAAAAGCTTTCACTGCATCAGCACTTCCTTTTATTGGTATCATATTTCTGTCACAGGCCCTATAGGCTTGGTTGAGTGTAGGGTCATCCAGAAAATAACGAGCTTCCACTTTAATTATGCAAACTAGAGGTAGGTGACTGAGAACTTACTTTTGGTCTGCAAGACAGGGAGTTTTGCAAGCCCTAAAGGAGTGCAGAGTTTCCTGAAGCTGTTGCAAGGTAGCTGGCCTTCTGAAACCAGGTGATATTCTCCTTTGCTTTGACGTGACTGCAGAGGAACCCTAAACTGGCACCTTGGAGCGGGTTTTTCTCCATAGGCCCAGAGGAGAGGCCATCTCGCTCAGAGGAAAGGGCTTGTGCCGCTTTCATCTAGAGCAGCGGCTTTCAACCTGTGGGTCGCGACCCCTTTGGGAGTCGAACGAATTTTTGCAGTAGCAAAAATTACAGTTATGAAGTAGCAACGAACATAATTTTATGGTTGGGGGTCACCACAACATGAGGAACTGTATTAAAGGGTTGCAGCAATAGGAAGGTTGAGAACCACTGATCCAGAGGTATTTTGATCCCATCCACCTTTTAGTATTTTCATTGACAACTGGTTTTCCACAAAACAGTATTTTTGCTGAGGGAAGGACAGGCAAAGGCCTGAAAATTTAGAGATGCATAGCTGAGAAGATTCTTTTTTTCATGTCCAACTATAAATTGCACACTATTTTATTTTGGGGGGGGTACAAAGCTGAAAAGATTTTACAGAAGTTCATATTTTACTAGCTGAATTTGGAAAAGGACACAAGAATTTGCCAAGAAAACGAGCTTTATTGAGGAACACCAGATTTCATCAGGAATCATGCAGGGCAGCCCTGCTTCATGCCTTAGCTGCCAGGTTGTGCTGCCCTGGAGAGGAGGGGTCGGCATTGCCGACTCGGGCTATGATGACAGCACACACCACTGAGTGTGCCTCCCAGGATGCACAGCAGCTGTCCCAGCAGCCCGTCTCAACCTCAGACTCCGGCGTCTTAGGGACCGTTCAGATGAAAAGTCACCCTTGCTCCCTGCCCAACCCTGAGCTTGTAATATCAGCCTCGTGACCAAGAACTTGGTTTTGGTCTACAAGATACAGGGAGTTTTGCTACTGAAGATTTTTTAAATTCCAGAATGCTATCACTTATCTTGGGTCTAGGTAAATCTTTAGAGAATTGATCCTGCACTCTGATGCAGTGTCTCCAACCTTTTTGGCACAAGGGACCTTTTTCATGAAAGATAATTTTTTCACAGGGTAGGAGGGAATCAGACAGAAGGTAGAGGTCATGCAGTAGTGACGGGAGTGATGGGGACTATAAATACAGATGGCCACCCACCCACTCACCTCTTCCTGTGAGGCTCAGTTCCTAACAGGCCATAGACCACACCATTCCAAGCTCAGGGGTTGGGGACCACAGCTGTAATGAGTAGGAAGATCAACTGGCTTTTGTATGAGTCTGTAAACAGAAGATGCCAAACAAGACTCCAACCAAGTATGTCAAGCCTCATGGGTTTTTAAGTGTTTGAGAATATGGCAATGGATTCAAGGGCAAGACTTTTAAAGTCATCATTCTCTGAATATAATAGCATATAGTTCCTGAAGCATTTAAATGGAAAGTGAAATTGAGTCACGCTGTTAACTTTCATAGTAAAAATTATTTATTTATTTATTTTAAGAGACAAAAGTCTTGTTCTGCTGCCCAGGCTAGAGTGTGGTGGCACTAATGTGGCTCACTGTAACCTTGAATTCCTGAGCTCAAGTGATTGATCATTTCAAGTAGCTAGGACTATGGGTGCATCCCACCATGCCTGGCTAATTGTAACTATTTTGTAGACAAAGGGTATCACTACGTTACCCAGGCTGGCCTCAAACTTCTGGCCTCAGGTGATCCTCCCTCCAAAGTGCTGGGATTACAGGCGTGAGCCTCCATGCCCTGGTCATAAAAGCTATTCAAGTCTTCTTCCCTGAAAAGAGCAACAGAGTTTTCATAAAACATTTCTTTCCGTTCTTTGAAAGCCTAAGCCAGAGCGAGACCTTGTTTCTGAAAATAGCCCAGTGTTGTGGTGGGTGCCTGTAGTCCCAGCTACTCAGGAGGCTGCGGCAAGATAATCACTTAAGGGCAAGACTTGGAGGTTGCTGTGAGCTATGGATTCCATAGCACTCTACTGAGGGCAACAAAGTAAGACTCTTGTCTCAAAAACAAAACAAAACAAAAACCATCTTTTCTCCAATGAATTGTCCTGGTGCCTGTGTCAGAAGAGTTTATTCCAGGACTCTGATTTCTGTTCTATTGATCTATATGCCTATCTTTACATCGACATCACACTGTATGGATTACTGTAGCATTTTAGTAAAATTTGAATTAAGAAATCTTTATTTTCAGAATTCTTTTGCTCTGAATCTTTGTATTTTTTACATAAATCTGAGGATCAGCTTGCCAATATTTCAAAAATCTTGCTTTTGATTTGGGATTGCACTGTACATAATTGGGGAAGAACTGCTATGTTGAGAATATTGGATCTTTCAAATCATGAACATGAAATGTCTCTACATTTACTTT